AGAGGTGACCTTGGTTAAAACACATAGTGCCAAGAAGGTGAGCAAATATATTAAGAACAGTATGCCATATATGCCAGGTCCCTTGAAACAGCAAGGATGGACCGGCTCCTGGCACCTGCCTCGGCATAAAGAGAGCAGTGAGGGCTAAGGCCTCTGGAGGGGTAAATGGGGCAAGTCTTGGGGGCTCACCAAGGGGAGAGCCACTCTGCCAGCTCATTGGTGAGGATCTTTCTGGGTCCTGGAAGGGTCCTTCTGAAAACTCTCCTGGAGGCTCTGAGTTTGTTCCATTATGTGCCCTTGAGAAGTGCCTGGACATTGGCAGAGTTGCTTCAAATGGTCTTGAGCAGTGATAGCCTCCCCACCTGTGGTCTCTGTAGAAGGTCTCAGAGACGGATTTCTGCTGAAGCTGTCCTGCTTTCCCTCCATGGGACTGGGACTCATGTTTTGCTTCTCTTACTGTCCCAGTCTTGCCCACGAACCCATCAGGCCTTCATTGTGTCTGAATTAGGTTGGAATTTGAAGTTGGAAGAAATTTTTGAGATCTTCAGTTAAACCTCTGTATTTCCCTTGTCTCTGGAAACCCCAGGAACAGGGTGGTAGGGATCACTCCATTTCCCACAGCAGCCCATCAGGTTGTGCCACCATCAGAACATTCTTCCACATAATGAGATTTCTCCCGTTCCATGTGACAGCCTTTCAGATACTTTAGGCAGCATCCCAGTTTTTCCTTTAGGCTAAACATTCCACATTCCCTTAACTGGTTCTCATACAATGTGCCCTCTAAGCAATAGAATTAGAGGACGGAGTACTAGCCATGCCCTAGCAGGGTTTTCATTCTGTAGTATTGTTGCCAGTAACTGAAGCAGGGGTGGCAAACCTTTTTTCTGCCAAAGGCCATTTGGATATTTATAATATTCGCTTAATATAAATGTATAATATAATTCACTTAATATAAATGTATGTTGCTATGAAAAAAAAAACTCCTAGATATATTGAATTTCAAGTCCAATCATCCAAATGATTTTGCAGGCCTTCCATGGCTCACGGACCAGACATTCTCCACCCCTGAACTAAGGCGTCTGAAATTAAGAAGAGGTTTCTCTCCCCTTTCCATTAGAAGGGATAATAGAATTTTTGTTACTTCCCTTCTAGGGATAAGACCGACTAACTGAGCAGGAGGGCAGAGAGCGTGTAGGTGATTGGGGCTGGGAGGACATGGTCAGAGACTGGTCGCTTCCCCTGTAATTTTCATGGATTTGGGAGGAATTGATGTGAGGAAGTATGGAAGCCAGAGTGAGCATTTGCTGAAGTCATGAGAACGGTCTTTTTCTGTTTCAGGTTACCCTACCTGTAAAGAAAAAATTAAGAGAAGACCTGGTGGCCGATCTGAAGTCATCTATAATTATGTGCAGCGCCCTTTTATCCAGATGTCATGGGAAAAGGAAGAAGGAAAGAGTCGCCATGTGGACTTCCAGTGTGTTCGGAGCAAATCCCTCACTAACCTGGTAGCTGCTGGAGAAGATGTCTTGGAGGACCAGGAGATACTGATGCATCACCCGCCCCAAGTGGATGAACTTGACCGACTGAATGCCCCACTTTCTCAGATGGCTTCTAACGACTTTCAGGATTAGGGCCAGTATGGGCCCACCTCTCTGCGAAGTGTCTGGGCTGCCAAAAGCCAGTTCTCCCATCCTTCCCTTCCTCCCATAATTAACGTGCGTCCTTTTCAGTACATCTGCACCTCTGCCGGGGATGAGAAAGCACTGGTAATGAAGCTCCCAGCTTGGCAGCAGCCCCGCTAACTTGAAATTTTGGGTCTGGTGCTGTTCACTGAGCCTTTGCATAACTGCAAAGCAGAAAAGCAAGTCAAGACTCCTGTCGCCTCATTCGGCAAAGCAGTTCTGACCCTTTGTGCTGTGTCTTGGCTTTTGTGTCTTGTTTTATACCAGGCACATCACTTAGCAGCGAAGGGACCAAACTTAGAGACAATCTCTATCTTCTGCAAATAGCACTAATGGCATGCTCATTAGAGGTTGGAGAAGATGCCATTCCTAGTGGCATCTGTGCTCAGATTGCATCAGGGAAGAATGAGGCTTGTATTCAACATGTCTAAAAGGAACTTCGTAGGCGCTAAAATTCAGTTTTGTTTTTTCATTAAATGCAAGAACAATCCAAAACCACATGGATTCTGTCACAGGAAGGAAAGTGGCATCAGAGTGTTGATGGAACCTTAGCGTCATGGTGTTTAGATTATTCATTTAGAAGGAAACTCAAGTAGAAGAACCTCTCCCGATGGGCCACTCTGATTGCCCTGGCTTGGAATTGGTGAGAAGCCACAGGTCTTCACCCAGGAGCAGCATGTTGCTGTGGATGTGGATGGGCGACCTTGGATATGACTTAAAGGCTCCAGCTGTGAGCAGACAGTTCTCACAAGGGCTGTTTCTCAGAGGGAAGACTTGTAAGAGCTCCAGTGAGGGGACGTGTCGGGGAAAGCTGGATGGGGAAGCATTACCTGCTCAGGCTTTGTCCCAGTACAGGATTCTTCTTTGTGCATTCTTTTCATACTTAGGGAATTTTTTTGGATACCAGGATATTTTCATTTTGAAATAGCCTATCAGCTGCTCACACTGAGTAAGAAACCATACATACTAACATCATCCCCCAAGGATGGACGAGTTGAAGGGAAGTGAGCCCTAGTAATTGTTTGCTCTGTCACTGCGTGTCAGTGCACAGCGACAACCAGATCACCCTCCCCAGCACTGAACCGCCTTCCCCAGTGTCCCCATGGCTAGAGCCGGATGTCATGGGACCATCTCCCCTTTTGCGCTACAGGCTGGCCTTCCAGTCACCTGCCCCAGGTATTTACTCATCACAACTTACAAAGAGGCACATAGTTTTCAAGTCCTTTAAGAGCATGACTGGCTTTCTTAAATCCCATTCCCATAAGATGCTATAGGGCAAGCTGCTTGATTCTGTTTTGACCATGCTAGTCACAGTCCTCCAAGAGTGACGTCGGATGGGCGTTGAAAGATGCTCTTTCCAGGCTTGAAGAGCAAGAATCTTACTAGTAAGTGTATTCTTTGCATGTGGTCAGCATCACAGTAGAAATCGATGCTCTATTTCTCTGAAAAGTAATCGGGGTTAAACTGAACCACCCCCCTCCCCACCTGCAGAGTTCTGATTACCATGGCATCCGTTTGTAAGGCAGGTGGCCAGTGGTAGTTTTATTTCTGTGAAACTGTTGGCTCATATTGAGGTCAGGTCTGGCTATGACCTTACCAGTATACATTCGTGCCCACTAGGAACCGACCAGCCCAGTATTGTTTAATGGTGCTTCCTTTACTTTTCAGTTGACTTCCATGTCATCACAAAGGACATTTACATTGAGTGTGTAGTCTGTGGTATATGTATAACTTTTGTTACACAGCTAATGTATTGGTAATGTTTAGAAAGTGTCAACACGCTGCAGCTGATACTCTAGTCCTTGCTTAGTTGGAAAGCCACGTATGAAAGTATGGCATGTAGTGAACACTTTCTTCTATATCGGTGGTTCTCAACCTTCCTAATGCCGCGACCCTTTAAATATAGTTCCTCATGTTGTGGTGACCCCCAACCATAAAATTATTTTCGTTGCTACTTCATAACTGTAATGTTGCTACTGTTAGGAATCGTAATGTAAATATCTGATATGCTATATGTGTTTTCCAGTGGTCACGACCCACAGGTTGAGAACCGCTGTTCTCTATGAATGATTAACTTATTCTGACTTTTAAGAACTATATCTTCTTTTCCCAAATTGGGTTAATGTGCTTTTGGCCCCAACCCCATGGACAGTCTGGGAGGTAAATCTGCCACTGTCACCAGGTGGTGGTGACAGGAGGAAGCTGGCTCGGGAGGCTCTCCTGCATCCGTGCCCTCCCCGCCTGGAGCTCAGCATCACTGTCACTTGGTGGCTCCCCTCAGAGCTGCTGTTTCCAGGGCCAGGACGTTCTGCTGTGGCAGGACTCTCGGCTGGGTTGTAGTCATTCCCTTAAGAATCAGTTACTGGCCACCTGGGCAAGAGGTGTTTCTAATACAAAGGGTAGGACTCGGGTCTGGTGTTTTTTCTAAGTGCCTAAATAAGTAAGCCAGGTGACTTACACAGAAGCTTTTTCATAAGGAGATAGTTTTACCCAGACTGTCTTAGAGGTATCTCAGCAAGCCAAGATGAATTTGAGGTTTAGAATCAGTTCATGTCTGCATCACATCACGTATTGTTGAGTAGGAAACATTTGCCATTGAGACTTGGAGAGTACTGGGCAAGGAACAGTGTTAAAATGTGGTGATATTAACGATTTCTCAGGCTGAAAAGAATGACAGCAAAAGGTAAAGAAGCTGGAAAGTGTCTGGATTTACTGCACAATATACGATAGCCAATATTTTCAACTAAATTCCAAGAGAACGATGTGACAGTGTACAGTCTGAGGAGATACTGTGGAGTAAGCCCAGGAAGGAGAGCTCTGTGTGCACAGTGTCCCGACAGATCCTTGTGCAAGTAAAACCAGTCAGAACACAGGCTTTCATTCACACTGTCAAAGTGCGACATGGAGCCTTTTGTATCCAGTGAAAATGGGAAGTTAGGAAGGGGTTTGAGTATTTTAATGTCATCATTTTGAAATTGTTAAAATGCATAGTGAGTTCAGAAAGCAAACCTGATGCCTTCATGGGAGATGGAGCCACAGTCATGCTCTGGGTGGGACCACCACTGCAGGACATTTTCTCTTAAAGGCAAAACGCCTTCAGTTTTGCCTCTTTATTTTGTATTTAAAATTGCACATGTTTACCTACCAGTGTTTACGAAATCCTATATTTAGGATGCTTTTTTTTTAAATAAAATACTATGATTTGTGTCCATGTTGTTCTTTTGGCAGAAAAATAAAACTAGGTTAAAAAGGGACTGGAAGGAGCGGCACCGGCCGCCCAGTCTCCTTTCCTACAGCAGCCGTGGGCTTGCCTCAGGCCTGTGTGTTTCCCGCTCTGCTGTTTGTACGTCTAGGTTCCAGAGCCCTGATGGTCTCCCTTCTCTAGTTCCTGGTTAACTTGCATTCGAGACCCCTTGAACCCTCAAATACAACTAAGTGGACCTCGTCAAGTCAAATGTAAGTTTGAAAGATAAAGGACTCAAACTTTGATGTCCCAGTTTGGGTTTATAGCAAGTGAGGAACCACGGCATCAGTGAAAAGTACGTCCCTTGGAGACATCATGATAGAGCCTCTTTCTCATCCTTAGCCCTACTCGGGGCTGGTGTCTACTGAGGCCCCTCAGCTCAGCCTGGGAGCCTGCTGCTGGTGACACTGAATTTCAGGGGTGCTGAAGCAAGCCTGTGCCTTCCTAGCAAGCCTGCCTTAATCAGCTCAGAGGTTCAGAACACACTCTGTAAACATGGCCTGCAGAGTATCTTCTGTGCCGAGCACTGCTGGGCCACAGGGACACCCTGACTAGGACACGGTTCCTCCCATCAAGGGGCTTTTATGATCACAAGAAGAAGACATCAGTAGACAATCCAGGTCACTTAGGAGCCCCGTAAGGGTGGAGTAGCCAGTTTTCATTGAGGGTATAGTGGTCACGAGAGAATTCTAGAGGTGACCCATGAACCAAATTGTGAAGAATGAATACAGGTTGTTTTGGATCCATGAGTATGAGGGGAGGAGATGTCGTAGGCCAACTCAACTGTAAGCAAAGGTGACATAATTGCTTACTGTCATCAGGGAAGTGGGTGGGGTGATGCAGAGAAGAGACGAGTAAAGACAGACCTCAGACAACAGTGTATTGGGAGCCCTCAAGGCTTTATGCAGGAGAAGGACATGATCAGACTTTTTAGAATTTCTTTGGCAGCAAGGAGGATGACAGGCTTGAAAGGAGGACCCGGGCAAAGGTCACTTGGAGGCCACTGCTAGGATAGAGGCACTGGTAGGATGATGGCCATGCTCTGGACCTGAACGTGCTTGCTGTTGGGAAGCACGTAAGGCGTTTCTGGCTTGGACAGCTGAGTAGACTGAGCTAGAAAAAAGGCTATGGAGGCAAGAGGAGCCGGACAGCCTTGGCCTGAGCCCGGAGAAGGCCATCCAAATGGCATTTCTGGTAGGCACTTGGCTCCATGAGAGCCGGCAATGTGGGGAATGGTCTAGGTAGGCTGGTCACTTCGAAGACCTCACCACAAAAACACGGTAGTTGAAGCCACAGTATGGGGCAGATGGCCTAAAGACCCCAAGTGAAAAGAGAGCGAAAGTCATTGCTCTGAAGAGCACCAGCATTTAAATGGTGGCAGAGGAACTACAAGAAGGAAGTTGGAGAGCTGGGAGCTGTTTTTAAAGTCAACAGTGTGAGCGCAGCAGGTCGATCAAGATAAGGAGTCAAGAAACCAATGGGTATGGCAGAACACCAGTCACCACAGGAATAATAAAAATGCCAGCACGGTTTATACGTGGAATAATACATTTCACACAAGGAAGAGGCACCAGACTGGAGTGGGTTGAAGTGGGGGAGGGAAATGACATAACAAAAGTGACTGCAGTGTTCTTCATAAAGCAGTAATTACTCAACTCCGTGCCTCTACCACAGCACAAGACCATACCTTCCTGCCTCCAACATCCTGGACTGCTCACTCCCTGCAAGTCACTGCTGTCTGCAAACATCTCCAGGAGCTTCCCTAAGCTTTCCAGCAACTTTGGGTTGGTTTCAACATATTGTTACATCGCCACTAAAATACTAACTATAACCGATGCTGCATTGTTAGCCACTTGGTGGGAATGCTCCCCTCGCTGATGTGCAGCTCAGAACCACACAGCACTCCCTCCCTTGTCCGAGTGCCTGGTATTGAACTCCGTATAATATGGTGCTTAAATGTTATTTGGGGAAGATGTTTCCTCTGAAAATAATGCCTGAACAAGCATGTGGAGGTTAGTTTTAAGTCAGTATTGGCTTTGATAGATAATTCTGGGAAAATGTATGACCTAGCGAAGGAAAAGACCATTCGCTGAATCCTTCTGAGTTCTGAAAACACCAACAGGTTACACACAAAGGTTATGCTTTTCAAGGAAATAATTCAGAGGAAAAGTATTAGTAGTAAGTAGCAGAGGAATCCTATTAGGCCATATAGGTGAGTTTTAAAATTAGCCACCTATTCAGACCTTGAATATTAATTCCAAAGGAATTCGCCTGTATGTTATTTTTGAAAGTAATTCTACAAAGCAATACGTGCCCAGCTGGCATGGCTCAGTTCTTGAGCGTCGAACCAGGAGGTCATGGTTTGATTCCTGGTCAGGGCACACGCCCAGTTGCCGGCTCAATCCCCAGTGTGGGGGCGTGCAAGAGGCAGCCGATCAATGATTCTCTCTCATTGATGTGTCTCTCTCTCCCTCTCTCTCTTCCTCTCTGAAATCAATTTAAAAATTATTTTTTTAAAAAGAAAGTAGGAAACAGAATCATCTGTGAACAGAACCAACACTGAGCCAATCCCAACATGTCTGCGACGAGCCTTGGAAAGACAGTACACATTCTGACTGCATTTAGCTTCCCTCTGCCTGCAGGTCCGACCCTGGTTTTTGCCCCTTCCTGCCTTTTTCTCAGGCTTCCTTCTCTAACATAGAGAAGGGGTAAGTGGGATCCAACAGGACCCAAATACACATGATCTGGAGACAGAACCCTGCTCTGGTGGACATGGGGGCTGAGTCCTGCCCTGAGAGCTTTTGAGATTCCTAGTCAACCCCAGGCTGGGGAAAATAAATGGGGCTGAGCTGTAAACAGTTGTACGGAAGGTTCACCAGTTGAGAGCACTTTGTCAGGAAAGTCTCCCCTGGCCTTCACGCAGGGGAGAGCCCACTGTCCTGTGACAGAACCAGATAGAACAGGCGTGGGGCCCACAGAAGACAGCCTCTCTGTATGGACAGCAATTCCAAAGATGCAGGCCCAGCTTCCCTGAGACAGAAAACCACTCGGCCTACAGACGGTGATGCAGTTAGCCTTCTGCCTCTTTGAAGTGGAAGCCACATCTGAGTTAGAACACATTACACTGCTTTTTCCACACTGTTTATTCAAAAGTTTAAAAAGTGGACATTTCCCCAAAAAACAAATGATCCCCCGCCACTCCCCAACACACAATCACCACTCCTTACCCATGCTCACCACAGACTCTTGCAAAACACATGGGGGTCAACACCCCAACTATTTGGTAATACAAAGAAACTACAGTTACACAAAAGAATCTCATTTACTTCCTTTTCACTAACAGACCATGAATGAAAGATTAGGGGCAGACATTACCTTCATCCAGAGTTAATACTTCCTTAAAATTCTTTTTTCTTTCTCTAAAACATGAAAATCCAAAGCAATTTCATTTACTACTGTAACTTTGAATTTCATTTTTCTTTTCTGAAGGACTAAGCTAGGACATACTTTCCTTTCAAAGCTGATCTTAGTAACATCAAGACTGGCAGGAAGTGGTCCCCCGCTGCAGCCTGGCTAGGATGCTCTGCACAGGTAAAGTTACCACCCAGGTGCAAATGATGCTTTCCGAGTTATTAAAATTTTTTAAAGTAATGCATTAATATGGAGCCTCCACAATTTCCTGACACAGCAAAC